AAACCAGTTCGGTAGGGTCAAACCATAGTCCTAGTACGGAATTTAGAAATCAGATTTTTATGATGAAGGCCAATTAAATTTTATTTTCTTACATTACGTTCTGTTTTCCCATCAGTGGTGATCCTATTGCTGTTATTGTTTGACCAAGTAGCGGTATCAGGCGTCTGCTTCATGTAAACGTGACAGTTCATTGGGTCTTGTTTTCCCTATTGAATCCAAGATAGCTGACTTTTAGCTCAACTTCCAGCAAAGTGATTATCTAGCAGCCTATACGGGGCGGTACGTGTGAAACGCCTTTTCGCCGCGGCCTCGCCCGAGTGGCACGTCTATATTAAGCGAGTGGTAGTATTTTCCGACAATGGCAGGCATGTAAAAAGCAGGTACAGACGGCGGACACGCCACAAGGCGCTAAACGGCCAAGATTGATCCATGCCTACGGCGGCAACCGAGTGAGCAGGGGTGGCCCTTCTGCCCGCAATAGCCCTTGCTTTGATAGTCATGGAGCGGATGTGTTGGTTTCTTCATAGGCATGAGAAAAACGGTTTGTCTTCATTGCAATTAGGAATAATTTTGTTGCCCTCTGCATTTAAGACATGCTAACAGAAACTGAAGCCTTTCAAGACCAATTGGCATGTTCCGAGCACCCCTGCATCACATCGTAGTCTTCACCAACCCATGGGATGGGGGTAATACTACCCACCATTCATCGGTGGATTCTGTAACGTTGCTACTTGCGGAAGTCCTAATGCACTTCAGGTCATTTGTTCCTCCCACTTTCCTCTTTTTGATGCTAAAGACCATCACGTTTACCCAAGACTATTGATGCAAGTTCGCGTTACAAACAAATGCCTGAGAGAATTCGTGCCATTTCCCTAGATGGCTGGAGAGGGTGAGAATGTTGTGAATGAAGATTCAAAGATAGAGATCCTAAATTTAGATTCAGAGTTTCCCAACGCTAGGGCCATATCGTTTTGACACAGCACTTGGCAGTTCGCCACGATTTGTCTGCCTGTTAGTGTCAGCAGCCGGGGCCAAAGTACCGAATAGCATTTACATATAGTGGTGGGGAGAAAGTGTTCGAAACAATACCGGTTCCTAGATTGGATATCTCCGTTCACTTGGCATCTCAAACCCCGATCAATTTGGGAAGGTGTTCGCAGCATCTGGACCGAAGGCGGGACGGCCAAGCCCGTTCTGACGCAAGTACCCCTTAAGTGACCATAACACACCATCAAGACAACGGGCTATTCTCCCTTTTGACGTGATACTACCCACAGAATTGAGCCCAGTCACCTAATGGCCGGCTCCAGGAAGGTAGGTGTCAGTCACTATGCAATGCGCGCGATTCTTTGTGGCGAACAATGCCTATGTCCTAATGTGTAAAACGCCGACTTCTCTCAGTATGACCTTTCGTCTTGCGCTTCATGGAATTGTTATAAAAGAACAGAGATCGCATGTCTTGAGTTATGGCTACAATCTACAAGCACTCGCTCACTCAACAGTCACTCCATTCACCACTCACTCTCTTAAGTGGAAACATCCAACTCTTACTCTCATTAACATACCCAACCTGCCTCATCACAGCATATCATACCACTAACAGCAAAACCCCTCTTTCACAATGCTGTTCCAGTCCTTCATTACCACGGCCCTCTTTGCGGCCATATCCGCTGGATTCCCCATTGAGACTCCTGAGGCTGGCATCGTCGAGAACGATGTGAACACGACCATCTCCGAACTTGATGTCCGTGCCACCTTCCAAGACGTATACAAGCTATATTCCGGAGACGGCAGCCATTTCAAGGCCGGCTGGCCCAACATGGACTTCTGGGGCACTTGGGACCAGATGTGGAATGCCAACGTGCCCCTCATGCGCAAGTCCTGCGGCTGGAACGGCTGGGGCAAGGACAACTCTGAGACGGAAATCGGGTACATCAAGAGCTCCCTCGTCACCGTCTCCGGCGAAGTCAGCATCGACAAGCGCTTCCTGCTCGCCATAATGATGCAGGAGAGCAAGGGCTGCGTCCGCGTCCCCACCACGCCTTCCGGGAGCGGCCACAACAACCCGGGCCTCATGCAGTCCCACGCCGGAAAGGGCACCTGCGCTGGTGTTAGCAATTGCTCCAAGGCGCAGGTTCTTCTGATGATCCGGGACGGCAGCGCCGGTACTAGTGCCGGCGACGGTCTGAAGCAGTGCTTCGCGAAGACCAAGGCCGTGATTGGGTCAGCAGGAAGCCAGGCTATGTATGCTGCTGCTCGCATGTATAACAGCGGAACGGTTGACTACAAGCAACTGAATAACGGCTTCATCTCTTCCAAGTGCTACGTGTCTGATGTTGCCAACAGACTTACTGGATGGACGTCAGCCGCCTCAAAGTGCTCATAAACGCATTCTTTCACGATTTCTTATGACTATTGTATATATCTCACATAGAAAACATGTATATATCTATCACTCAATACATATCAAGTTGAAAACATCTGTCAAAGAGTAGAAGCACATGTCCGGAATATATCCAAAAATTCCCATTATCTTTGCCTATGCCTTTTTTAAATACCCCAAAAGTGTGTTCGTCTGTGTTTTCGTCTTCTTCAACTGCTGCGTGGCTGATCGTTCAGGCTTCTTCCCAACCTCCATTATGCTCATCAACTCCTCAAACTCTGCCTTTGGCACAATCCCACCGCTGGCTTCCTTGTGGCCACGAGCAAACGACTCCCCCAACCTCTCGCGCAAGGTGGGGTCTTCCGACCGCGAGGCCACACCACGCAGAATTTCAATGATGTTTACAGGGGGTTCTCTAGACCTCGCGCATCGTGGGATTCGGCATGAGAAATTCACCTTGTCGGGGATATAGCCTTCGTTTGCAACCAGGACAACCTCCAGGTTTTTAGAGGACAAGTGACCTGCCCACCGTGTCGCGATGACTGGATGGACTTGTGCCCCGGAGCTGATGCGAAACACGGCGACTCTACCGTCGGCGGAAAACTTGGGGGCTGCATGAGTGCACCTCTCGACCTCTGCGTTGACCTCTGCCCTTGCTGCTAGTAAATCCTTATTTGAAAGCATATCTTTGGGTGACGTCGCAACACTCAGCGCCTTCCATGCTACTGGGACGTTGTAGGAACTCGTGCGCCGTGGTGCATTGACGAGTGAGACTGCGTCGTTGATGGCCTTCTTCGTGTGCTTCTTAAACGTAGCGGACATGTCTGGGAACGGCGGCTCCCATTTGAATGTGTTTCCCAAGTCGCCGTGAGTTCCCATGGCACAGAGCCAGTCGCATTGCGCCTCGACATCGTCATGCAGGTCACGGCAAAGGAGGTACGTGAGCAGCGAGGTTGTGGCGACGGGTGGGTAACGGCAGGCCGTCACGAGCAAAGAATTTTCGGGATGGTCATCTTCCTCTGCGTGGTGGTGATCGATGATGATACCGCGATGAGGCTGGTCGATGAGCGGAGCAGATCTACGAGACCCCTGGTCCAACACGAAGATGAATGCGGGCTCGAAGCCGGCCATTGCGGAGCGGGAGGTGTCATCGTGGACGGAGCAGCCCTTGTCGAGAACATGTACTGAGATGAAAGATTCGTCGAGGCCGATTAGCTTCAATGTCCGTTGCAGGATGGCCCCGGACGCAAGCCCATCGGCATCTTTGTCGGGGACGATGAGGGTGGGCTTAGCAGCAAATGCACTGCAGGACGGTGGTTAGCCAACTCGGTAGAACGAGGGAAAGGTCTTGCTACACGTACCACTCGATGATGACAGCTCTGGCCGCTTCCATTTTATCATCCGGGGCCGGCCATACTATCTGGCCCTTCTCATCACGAGTTTGTTTAGTGAGATGGTAATCGGGCACCTGTTGAGGGGCAGTGGTGCGAGGCTTCTTTGCGCCGTGCTTATCGGCTCTAAGGCCGGATGTTTGTATAGAACGTTTCATAATTCGCGGGAAATGTCGTTGGAGGCAAGATCGTTGAAACACAAGCATAGTGGGCTTTTGTGAAGATGAAATACGGGCGATGCTCTGGCGGCGTGAATGCCTTGATTAGTGTCGTCATTGACCTCATGTTGTCTGGCATCCGCGGTTAATAGTGTATAGTATCTCCCGACACTTGACCTGTGTATTGGCACGCCAGCCCAACTAAGAAAAATAAACTGTCTTGATTTGTCTAGACTTGTTCTGCGTAATCGGGTTTAATTCTCTCTTTCATATATTTATTTGTGCAGTGTGGTTGGTCGCAATGAAGGAGGTAGAGGAAGGGTATAGGGTAGCTTGTTGTAATTCCAACATGGAGAATAGATAATGCGACTGGCATAAGAAATGGCAAACACCAAATTGCATAAGCGAACCAGCACTTTGGGCCTAAACTGGCTGCACAGAGGCCCTCATCCCTGCTGTATTCCCAACGGGGGAAGCTAGCCGACAAATGGCAGCATCTATGCATGAACATCCACTACATAAAGGGTCATTTTAATTATTCTCGCACCATATTATAAGCATGCCTGTCCCGATATGACGCAACATCCATCGGGCTGTGCGTTGTGCATCTGGGGCTGACTCTAGAGTGGCCTCACATCCATGGATCGCTTCATGAGGCCACCACACGTGCTGCTTCGAGCTCCCCCCTCCCACCGCCCGTTGACGCGCCTTTTGAACCCTTACATCCTGTCCAAGATTGCCTTTGCCAGAAGATCGCAGTACCCTGGCACCAGGCGAGCCGCCCTCCAATAAGACACGACGATCGAGACCATGGCGACCGCGATCACGGCCCCCTTAAGCGGGCTGCAGTCGCTCCTCCTCAACCCCCTCCTCACAGGCTCGTGCCTCGGTTTCATCAAGTACGGCCAGCGCGAGCACGTCGAGCGGCTCTTCGAACTGATAACCAAATATGGCGGTATCACGCGCCGCAGCACCGTCAAGTCCGCGATCGGTATCCTCTTCCTCGTCGGCCTCGCCAAATCATTCCACAACTCCCTAAGCCGCGCCGCCTACAACAATTGGACGCTGCTACCGACGATGAAGAATAAGTGGGGGGACTGGAGCAAGGAGATCGCCGTCGTGACGGGCGGGTGCGGCGGCATTGGACGGGAGATCGTCCTCGGTCTGGTCGCCAAGGGCGTCACGGTCGTCATCCTCGACGAGCAGGACCTCCCCCGGGATCTGGCCGCGAACAGGAAGATAAAGTGGTGGAGGTGCGATGTGCGGAACCCCGAGGCCGTCAAGGGCGCGGCGGACGAGATCAGGCTGTCGCTGGGCCACCCGTCGATCCTCATCCAGAACGCCGGTGTTGCGGGCTACTGCAGCCTGCTGGACACACGTCCCGAGTTTGTGCGGCACGTCTACGAGATCAATGTGCTGTCGCTGTGGAACACGACCAAGGAGTTCCTCCCCGCCATGCTGAGGAATAACAAGGGCCACATTGTCACGCGGTCGAGCGGCGCTTCTTACGTGGCGCTGCCCAATCTCATCCCTTATGCATCTTCCGAAGCCGCAACGACGGCGTTCATCGAGGGCCTGCGGCAGGAAATCAAGCACATATACAAGTCCCCCGGGGTTCTTGTAACAGAAGTGACGCCCGATTGGACGAAGAGCAGTACATCCCATCACTACTCTCACCTGATCGCACCCACGGTGGAGTCGACGGATGTGTCGAAAGCCATTCTATCGCAGATATTCAGTGGTAGAGCAGGGCATGTTACTTGCCCATCCTGGTTTGGATCTTTATCGATCATTCGGGGGCTCCCTATTTGGCTACAGGAGATTACGAGAGATGTGATGGGCAGGTCAGTTCCGTTGACAGCAAAACGGATAGAGAAGCCTAGATAAAGAAAATAAGCTTCTCAACCCCGCCATGGTCCAAGTGTTGTAAGAAAATTTGTATGACTAGATATTTATGCATAATTTAATTGAGAACTCCGAATCCTCATTACTCATGTTCCACTTCGTAAGGATAGATTTGCTCCGTTGCTTGAATTACCCGACCATAGTGAGGGTATAGTTCGTTTCACCGACTAGGAACAGATAAACTGAAGCACGTCTCCACTCCCATCGTCAACTCGTTCATCATTACCTTAATTCGTAAATGTCCACGCGTGTCTGGAAAGCCAGAGCCAAGGCATAAGTGCCTTCCTTGCCTCCGGGTCCAAAGCCGCAGGCCACCGCGGGCTCATCCTTATCACCCACGACTGCGGCCAGCTTCCTCGTCTCCAGATCAAGTATATGGACCAACTTCTCATTCTCCTTGCCAACAAGCGAGGGAATTATGTTTCGTATCACGGCATATCGGCAATCCCGCGAGATGAAGACATTTGCCGGGTCAGTCAGCCCGGGGACGGCTATATGGTCCGCTCGCCCCGACTCGACATCCACTACCCATATCTGCACCGTGGCATGGTGGTAGCGCAGGTCGGCTTTGGGGACCGACCAGACGAGCACCGCATAGTTGCTGTCGGAACTCAGAGCCATGCTGGCAAGCGTATATCCCTCGTAGTCGCTTGCCGCGTAGAGCTTGCTGTATTTGTACGAGGGGTCCCTGAGGAGCTCGGATCCGATGATGACGCGTTTCTTCTCCGGTGGAGGATCCTCGCTGTCCTTGTTCGCCAGCAAGGCGCCGGAGTCGAAGATGATGAGATGGAAAAACCCGTTGTGCTCTTCGACCACCGCGATGTCCTGCCCATTGGTGGCTAGTTTCGCATACCAGGTGCCCTGCAGCGGCTTCAGCATCTGGGACTCGTTCTCGCTTAGTATATTGGCGGAGAGTTCGGCCATTTCCGGCTGCCCCTTGTGCGGCTCCCTGATCATGTTGGACTGCTCCTCTATCCCGCCCTTGCCGCTCACGAGCTGGTACATGACGGCCACGCCGCCCTCGCTCGTTTTCACGCAGGCGGTTGAGATGGCGCGGCGGACCGACAGGCGTCTGTTGTTCTCCAGGTTGTACGTCACCATCTCGTTCGGTTTCCCCTTCCACCAGCCCGTGATGAATACGTAGCTGGAGTTCCAGGGGCACAGCTCCACCCTCCACGGGGTGAATTTGGCAAAGGGAGATCCGACCTTGTACTCCTGTTGTTTCTCTGTCTTCATGCTATAGCTGATTAGTGTTCGGTTATGTATATTGGCCATGATGACCAGTCCGTCAGCCACGTCCAAACTTTGGATGTGGCCAGAATTACTATCGTCAAAGGATATTTGGTGCTTTAGTGTGGCAGTGAGAGCTCTGCTGGGATCATTGGCCAGCTGAGAAGGTAGCGGCACCTCGGGGAATAATAGATTGGCGTAGAATGGTTCTCTGATGCTGATTGGCGGCATGTCCACAACCAGCGCCTTGTCAATGAGCATGAATATCTGCGGCGAGCGGAGCTTTTGAGGGACAACTATCATGTCATTCTACCATGGCTATTAGTCCATGATTGTAAGACGGGGGCTGTGGAGCAGAGCCTACCTTCTTCTCGTATACTATATCAAGAACATCTAGGGCGAACTTTCGGACCAAGTGGAAAGGAATGGTAGTCGTGCTATCAGCAAGACTGAAATTCTTCGAAAACGTCACAGAATTCGCAATAGAGTCCGGTAACCATAGCGCAAGATCCTGCCTGATCAGGTCGCACTGCACGTTGGCGCGAGAAATGAACTTTCCAAGGAGCGGCTCGAGATCCTTTCTTCCACGGCCCCGTAGCCGGGTTCGGAGGGCATACACCTGAGCCATGATGGGCGCTTTGTCGGCCTGGTCCTTTATACTGCTGGCCGTTAGCGAACACTGACGACGGAGATACCAGAATGAAGACCTACATTGTGACCAGGAGTAGAAACAAGCTCAGCACATCCGTCGCATCCTCCAGCTTCCTCCGCTGCAAACGAAGCCCCGCAATCTCGTCGTAGCCACACTCTTCCTCCTCGCTGAACTCGTTCCTCAAGGTCTTGATGTAGTCCTCAATCAGCACGAAGCACTCCTGGTGCTCCCACATGAAGGCGTAGCAGTCCTCGAGCAGCTCACCCGACAGCACCTTGCGCAGGTAGATGGACTTCTCCGACGAGAACATGCCCGCGACGCGCAGGAACTGCTGCATGTCATTCTGCAGGTGGTCCAGGTCGTGCCTCAGCAGAGGGTGGCGGGCCGCCAGCGCCCTGGCCTGTCGCTCGATGTCCCAGGCGGCAACCTCGATGCCGTCCCTTGTCCAGAATGCCTGCATCGCTCAATATGAGAGTGAGGAGGGGAGAGGCGGGCTGAGATGATGGCGACGGGCACGAGGGCGCTGTCTGCGAAGAAAGCCCGTGCTGGAATGGAACGTCTCCCTCGCCCTCGCTTCGTGTGTGTGGGGGGCTATACCGCTCGTATTTTTTTTGCATGACGCTTTTTTTTTTTGGGCTTTGGAGCCGCAAGTTAATACGAAGTGTGAGAAAAGCTGGGCCCACTCTGCTCGTTCATGCGTTCCGGACAAATAATCCGTTGGGATTGGAGGGAGTTGCGGGAGGGGACGAATCTTGATCGGAACCACAACAAAGAATGTACCCATTTCAGAGTCAACTAAGAGAGAAAGGTACTCTACAAAGCTTTCACGAAGTATCATTCAAAGTGACTGGCTGGAGGAGTTACAAACAACTTCGAATCCTGGATGATGGATCGCCAAGCCCGAATCCTCCCCTCCCCAAGCCTTTCCATTCTGAGCGTAGCTTCGATAAGCGCCAAATTGGCGAACACGAACAACACTGAAGAAAGCTGAGAACCTCTCCCATGGCAGCAGAGCGATCATTTTCTCTCTTTAATATAAATATTGGTATCTAAAGATATTAAATGCTTTTAGCTTACCTTATAGCTTAATAATATATTAATGATTTAAGCTTATAATTTTTAAGGAAATACAAGACTAAATTTTAAGGTAAAAAAGAGCCTTCATGTAAAAGACTTTGACTGGATATGGAACCTGGGGTTTATTTACCTTTAGGAAGGCCCTTATATATTAGAGCGGTTCAGTATATATATAATTAAACTATCTCAACTTCTCTGTTGTCAAATTGCTCGAAATAACTTATTCCCACACCATCTCCCGCCACAGACGCCCAGACGCCCACGCGGACAAATCTCCCAGGTTCGCGAGCCGGATGCAAGAGAAGACCGTACACGTTCCTACCATGCGGGATTCGATAATCTGTTCTATAGCCATGAAAAATTTGAGCAGGCAGAGTGCCACCCTCATTGTCCTCTTCTCCTTTGTCGCTGTCCTCTTCTCCTTTGTCGCTGTCCTCTTCTCCTTCGTCGCTGTCCTCAAGTTCTTCTGAGCTAGCAACTACACATGCGAGCGTTAGCATCTCCTAATCTGGTGGAGTATTCGCCATCTTTGTTTCTTTCTCCACAGTTTGAGAACGTCTAGTTACTACTGACCTGATGATCCATCATTTGAACTCTCATCTTCAGTTGGGGAGCTCCTATACTCGCGATCGCGGTTGAACTGTTGAATCAGAGCTTCCCAAGAACGAGTCCCGTCAGAGCTCATGAGCATCAACATTAAAAGCTCGCTTCCAGGAACCACCTTTTCTTTTGGTAAACAGTCGATGTTGCAGTAAGCGATGATGCGACCTTGGTCTTGAATGTGCCATAATTTCGGGAGCGGTCGGTAACAGTCAAGAGGGACAATGTCAGCGGGCACATTTGCTACGCGTCCCCGTATTCGCATCACCCCGTCTTGGATTTCTCCAAAGATATTTTCTCCCTTTGGGGTGATTCGTGTCTCGGTAATGCAGGCTTCCGCTGATACTAGGTTCCTAAAGAATGGCGGTCGCGCATATGTCAACCCATAATCAACTCTTACCCCAAGTGGCCGGGTGCAGCTCCATGATGGTGCAATATATGGGTTCGGGTAGCATAATCTATCGACGAGCTCTTTCAGAGGTACGTGATCCTCGGTGTTTGCGTGGCAGTAGGGAAACCACATTAATGCGTATGGCAGGTCTCTCTCCCACAACCCCGCGAGATATCGATCGCCCACTGCGTTCGACACATACTTGGCCATCCCAGACAATCCCGGCAGTGTGTCTCTAACATTGGTATACTCTCGGCATCCGTAATCCCATTGTATCTTCACGTCCCATTCCTCAAGATCCATCAAATAGTGATCTGATTCACAGTCAAATTCACGGTCTTCGTAGTATCCAGTCTCAGAGGCACAGATGTGGTCGCACTGGAAGTGTATCATCGACTCTCCGAAGAACAACTTTCTTGGAGACATTAGGGATTCTTGAAGAGTCCAACCTCTGCTATTCCATCGAGAATGGTCCACATCCAATGCCGGCCAGCCATAGAGTTCCCACTCACGGCAAGTACCCGACGCGACCAGGCTGTACTGACCAACAATGCTGGGGTTAATCTGAGAGGAGAACGGGATCGGGACATGTCTTCGATCTCTCTTTAAAAATGTCTCAAATCCAGAGTTTGAACTCAAAGCGCAAATTGTGACCAGAGCGTGGCTATAAATAAAAGCCATAGATTCACTCTCGCTCTCCCAGTCAGAGACGTCGTCCTGTACAATGCACAAGCAATCAACCCATAGATAATGAACCGATAGGGCTCGACAGACCATGATTGCATCTCGGAGAACGGGGTGCATTGAGTTTTCACCAATGCCGGCCATCCTTGCCTCCAGGCTGTCGGATGTGGTGCATAGTTGATTTTCCCCGTCACTTGGCGAGCCCCAGCAGTAGCTTAAAGCCGCGTATTTTAGGTGGCTTTTACCGTCAAAAGAACTTTCAGTTATATCTTGGCAGTTTATTAGCCGTATGCTGCGGGAATCTAGGTCGGGCCCGAGATATAGAAGACGAGTTGGAAGGAAACCAGTCTTTTCGAGGTGAGAGCACTCTGACGTGCATTTGTTGATGGCTTCCTTCATGAATTGAATATTCTCTTCACAGAGTACATCTCGTTTCCTAAGTCGAGGAATGCGTAACCAAGAGGCAACAGACGCTATGAGTACAAGTAAGATTAATTCTCGGCAAGATCATGTCCAACCAACCGTTGTTAACGACTCACTGTCATCTGTCTCAAGGGCGAATATAATGCAGTCACGTAGAACATCTGGTGGGGGTGAAGCAGGCGGGATAGACGGGATATCGGGTCGCCAGTATAGCTTTGCTAACAAAGCTCCAAGCCCAAGTGTTGGAAAGCTACTGTGCCCCCAATAATACTCAAGTTGTATTTCCAATGAACCATGGTAGTCAAACCCTGCCCGGATGATTTCGTGCCGTAGGAGTGAACAAAAGGTACAGCCCAGATTTTCGCTCTCCTTCAATAACGGTAACTCTGGTAAGGTATCAATAACTTGATAGTCAAGGGACACACTCTGATACTTCTCAGGTGACAGGCTCAAAGTTGAGGACTCCCCATCTTGCTTCACAACTTCCTCCACAACAGGAGGCTCGAGAAGCTCATCATTAAACTGGATGACGATGCATTTTTTGCATAAGTTTGCAGTCATATTTCTCTCACTTAGTGATCGCGTAGTCGCTGTTGCATGTGCGCGATTAATTCTGCCTTGTTTCGTGGGGTCAGGTCCGACGTTTGCCTCTACTCTGATGCATCCGTTGCTTACTCCACGTGACTCCCAACACCACATGGCTACCCCGGAGCCCTAGAAGATACTGAGGAAGCTGCCGGTGTCTTCCTATGGGGTGCGCTCGTTTTTCCCATCCTCAACACGAAGGAATGGTATAGCAGACTAGATCTAAGGATCACGAACCTACCAAATAATTTAAGCGAACTCTTTTAGGATATAATCGCATAGGATAAAGAGAAACTAATTAAGCTTCAACTATTTCTACTCTAGGTTCATGATTTAAAACAACTGGCGGGAAACATTTTGGCAGGAACTCGTGTTTCTGACATGCCTGCCACATCTCAATGGTTCGAGGCGATTCTGCGTCCGGGTAGTCAATGCTGCCATGATCAAGTCAGTGTGAGGCCCCATGAATAAACCTACGGCCTTGGAAGATGAAACGTACTTTCTTCGGCTCTCGTGTTGGTCGTATGATTACTGCCTGATATCAAGATTAGAAACAAATGTGTACACTTCCTCCGGATAAGCGGTGTGTAGAAGACCTTACAATATGTCGCCATGTTATCCAGAAAGTAGCTTGGTCACAAGTTTCCCTTGATTTTTGCCTTCAAAAAGGCGCAACCAAACTTCCGGGATATCTTCAAACTTGGCCGGAACCAAGGTTTGACTGCCGTCGTCTACTCTGATCTTGCCCTCCTTTGCCGCCTCCTGGAAGATTTGGATGACAGTTGGGAGCTTTTTGAGATAGTCCAACACTACGAACCCGTTGATCTTCAACCGCTGGGTGATGACATTCTATGGGAAGGTTAGTTTATTGATCTTTCAAACTCAGGGTTGGGGAACAAACGTCAAAATGAGCGAATGAGGCTTTCTCTGACAAGTTGTTATATCTCGATACGGAACCGTTGATGATACTTAGTACGCAATGATATAGGAAGGATCGCTGGGCAACTCACCATAATGCAACTCGGCCTCCTTGACGGAGGCGGGTGAACATGAAATCCAAGATGTCGCCTCCTACATTATCTTTAGGTTACGATTGTTAGTGAACTTGATTAAACATATATCAGTGAGTAGGTTCTGTATACCAAAGAAGACATCTGCAAGATCGTCCGTTGCCTTTGAAAGGTCTTCGTAAAATGTAGGAGATTTGTAGTTCAAACAAACATCAGCTCCTAGACCCTCAACAAAACGACACTTGTCATCCGTGCCGGCAATGCCGATAACCTAAATGATAGTTCAATTGCGGCTCATTTGACGGCAGCATTGGAATCGCCTCTTACCTTTTTGCAGCCGATGATTTTCTTCGCAACTTGAACTGCTGTGCTGCCAGTTGCGCCCGCGGCGCCGCTGATGACAACAACGTCGTCACGGGTCGTCGCAGCAATCTCGACAAGACCATAGTACGCAGTCAAGCCGGTGACTCCTAGGATTCCAAGGTAGTGGGGCAAGTCGTAATCCGAATCTTGGGGTATCACGATGCACTGATCTTCATGGGCGGTGAAGTACTCTGCCCAGCCGCCCGAAGCCAACACCACGGTGCCGACAGGGAGCTTCTGTGCCTTGGAGTCTATCACCCGTGAGAGGGATCTCGCACGCATCTTGTCGCCTATTTTGACGGGTGGTACATACTCTCGGGGCTTTGGCTTTCCGCCTGTGATCCAGACGCGTGCTGCGGGGTCATTGGAGATGAAGATCGTTTGAAGAAGTACTTCGCCGTCGTTGAGGGCTGGAAGCGGCACCTTGGTGATCTCAAATGTTGCATCTGGTCCTTCTAACTTTGGGTAGGTGGCAGGGTGGGAAGCGAGCTGCCACTGGCGGGTTTCGGTCGGGAGGGATGCCATAGCCGTGAGATGTTGCTTTTTTCATGAAGTTGATGGTGCAGCTTAGAAGGATAATAAATCCGAAGTAGCAGTACCATTTATGCCCTGTCGCTGGGATGGACACTGAGACATGTTATTTGTAAGCTGTACATGCACATGCCTTGATGCGGTGCACAAAAAAAATGGCAAAAGCTGGGTGGAATCTCGAAGCAACCGTGAGTTGTATAATTAGAGGGCAATGTTCAGATCATAGCCCGTCTTCATTTCTTCGGTCGCTAAATTGGTTGGGGTTATGCCTAGGCATGATTCTGGCAGGTCAAACTAGCCACCTGGGCCAAAGGGTGGCATGAAAGTGCAGTGCATATTCAAACCGATTTCTGGTCGAGGCCTTGACAAGAATCCGAAGGAGTGCGGATTGGTTGACACATTATAATAAGTGACTATTTCCCCAGAACGCCCCAACCGATATTAGGATTCTGCATACAACTGAATACCCCAGCTCACTCAAGATCGGTCATTCCGTTACCATCTATTTCATCCTGGAGCTTTTCTAGCTAAAGCTGGTGGGGACTTGCTAGAGCAGAAGTGGAAGGAGTAAGCTGCTGATTCCAGCGAACTATCACTAAAGGAGCTTTGTGATCAACCCGACGGCGGATGAAGTTCTCCAGACGGGGTTGAATATGATGCTAATTGGATCTTGATGGTCCGAAATACCCAAAGAAATCTGTTGAGAAGGAACCAAGGGAATAAGAAAGCGAGATGTTCTGAAAGAGTAAGGTAGTACTCGCCTTAAGAACTCGACAGGGTATATCGAAACGCTTATATTGCAAGCCATGTCCTTCCGCAAGTGATGGGTTCATTTGAATCCTTTAACACACCCGCCAAATGAAGATCGGTGTTCCTCAGAGCCTATCCGGCTGATATGTGCCGTGCGGCCCGGAGAAACATGGATTCACCAGCTTTGCTTACCACGGAGGCGGGTCCATCTCCAGTGTAAGGAAGATAAGTGTGAGATCGTGCCTTAGAAGGAGTGCAAATAATCCACGTGCTGGGGGAATGACTCTGTACCCAAAAGGTGAGACCTTGTTGCCGCATGCCATCGCCCGCATTTCGCGCATGACGCATGCGTACCACCCGAGCGGGTCACCGGTAGGCATCAACAGACGTAAATTATTCATTTGGTCGTAGGCCAATGCTTTTAAGGTCGGCTACTACTGCTCTTTTTTGCCCCTGGGCAGAAGCTCAGACGTACCGCACTCTGGGGGGTCTTCGCCACTCGTTTATGTTCTCAACAATGCACTTCCTTCGGCTTGTGACATGGGCAGTAGGCGTAGCGGCCACCGTCCAGGCTTCTTCGCTGTCGGCAGCCGGTGTTCAGTCTCTTGTTCAGCGCCGTCTTCCAAAGCACGCGGATTCGTTCATTTTTGAGATTGCGGCGACAGTCTCCAACAACAACTCAACCAACTCAGAGCTTGATAGCTACGTGGTGTCGAGTACGAACGACGGCAAGATCCGGGTTGAAGCCAACTCGGTTAGTGGGTTATTGTCGGGGTAGGTGCTTGAAACAGAAGCAAGCCGCACTCTCATACTGGGGTCCTTTGGTAGACTGACGAGGATTTATCCTGAAGCCTTCACAAGTATCTATCTGGCTCGGCTCACGTTGACGTTTGGTGGTTCATTGGCAGTCAGCTGGACGCTGCGCCTTCAACCCTACCAGCCTTGTCTGCGCCCCTGAAGGGTTCCAGTATTGTTCCCTGGCGGTACCATTTCAATACAGGCAAGTAATTATACTGACCGAAAATGACAGTTGCCTCTTTAGTTGATCGATCTAACATTTGAGTAGTCACTACTTCTTACACCTCTGCGTTCTGGAGCTGGGAGGAATGGGAGCTGGAGCTTGACTGGATGGCGCTGCATTCCGTCAACCTTCCCTTGGCATGGATTGGAATTGAGAAGATTTTCATCGAGGTGTTTCAAGAGCTAGGATTTTCCGACGCCGAAATCAAAGATTTCCTCTCTGGCCCGGCCTTTCTCGCCTGGAACCATTTTGGAAACATCCAAGGGTCATGGGGTGGAGATCTGCCCTTCTCATGGGTTGATGACCAATTTGAGATGCAGAAAAAGATCGTGAAGCGCATGGTTGAGCTTGGAATGACCCCCATCTTGCCCGCCTTCCCTGGTTTTGTGCCCGCGACCATCCTGCAGCACTTCCCAAACGCCAACGTCTCCAACAGCTCGGCCTGGGAGCGCTTCGAAACCAAGTACACCAACGTCACTTTCCTGGACCCCTTTGACGAGCTGTTCGGCCAGCTTCAACAGAGTTTTATTAATAAACAGAAGGAACACTATGGAAACGTTTCGAGCTACTATGCGCTTGATCAATTCAACGAGAACTCGCCTGCGTCAGGCGATACGGGCTACCTCGAAACGCTCAGCTCCAATACGTGGAAGACCCTCAAGAAGGCCGATCCGGATGCTATATGGGTCATGCAGAGCTGGCTCTTCTCGTCCGACAGCGCGTTCTGGTCCACTGAGCGGATCAAGGCGTTTCTAGGGGGCGTGACAGAGAACGCCGACATGCTGATCCTTGATCTATTCTCCGAATCGACACCGCTCTGGGAGAAGACGGAGTCATATTACGGCAAGCCGTGGATCTGGTGCCAGCTACACGACTACGGACACAACATGGGCCTCTATGGCCAGATTATGAACATCACCGTGAATCCAATCCAGGCTCTGGATGCCGAATCGAGCACCATGGTAGGACTTGGCCTGTCCATGGAAGGCCAGGAGGGTAATGAAATCGTGTACGACCTGCTACTCGACCAAGCTTGGAGCACCGCTCCCATTGACACCCAGGAGTATTTTCACGACTGGGTCAGCACCCGCTATGGAGCCAGCGGCAGCACCATCCCGAAGGGCTTATACGCAGCTTGGGAGATGGTGCGCCCAACAGTGTACAATAACACGCACCTGGCAGCCAATGCAGTTCCCAAATCCATCTTAGAGCTCGTCCCCAGCACGACGGGGATGATCAACCGTACAGGCCACCACCCGACAACCCTGAATTACAATACGTCGATTCTGGTCGATGCATGG